GCCTAAGGCTTTACTAATTTTTTATTGCTTTCTAAAACAGAGTTTTAGTACAAATTTTTTTATTTTTGTATTAAAACTCCGTTTTAGAAAGCAGTAAAAAAGCCGTCCCAAACGAAGCCTAAATTTTCCAATTTAACTCCACACATAATCAAAATTAACACACACAACAATGATACAACTTGGGTCAAATCTAACTAGAGGATTTTCTAACCACAAATTAGAGCACCAATCACACAAATTCTAATAACGAACAAGGATGATCAATCAAGTTGTCTCCCAAATAGTGCTAAGTTTATAGTTCTTAGCCATACTATGCAAAATTCAATCCAAGAAGAGTTACCTCTACATAACTCTTAAGGTGATTAGCTAGATAGGGTTTTAATCTCTGACCGTTAACCTTCAAATTTTGAGTAGTTTTATGATCCATAATATCAATAACTCTATAAGGATACACCTTTATTATATTGAATGGACATAATCATATGGACTTAAGCTTTGTAGGAAATAATTTTAACCTCGAGTTATAGAAAAAGAATTCCTCGCCAGGCTCAAATTCTTTCCTAATGAGTTTACGATCACACCACTTTTTTATTTGTTCTTTATATAACTTGATATTTTTATAAGTATTATTTCTAAATTTTTTCAATTCATTCAACTATATTAGCCTTCTTTTTTCAACATCCTTAAGTTTATAATTTAATTCTTTTTCAACCCAAAAAAGCTTTGTGTTCTAACTCTATAGGAAAATGACATGCTTTTTCAAAGATTAATGTATTGGGAGATATTTCAATTGAAGTCTTATAATCAGTCTTATAAGCCCATAGTGCATCATCCAATGTTAATGACTAATTTTTCTTATTTGGACTTATAATTTTCTCTAAAATTATCTTAATCTCTTGATTGTTAATCTTTGATTAACCATTAGTTTGGGGATGATAAGTAGTTGTTGTCATATACTTAATTTGATATTTAGAAATTATATTTTCAGCCATTTTATCATAAAAATGGCTACCCAATCATTAATGATAAATTTAGGCACTCCAAATCATGACAATATATTTTTTCCTTAAAAACTTAATTACTATATGAGCTTCAATTTTAGGAGTTGATATTCCTTCTATTGATTTAGAGATATAGTTAACTGCTATTAAAATGTATTGACTTCCAAAGAATTAAACAAAATAACTCTTGAAGTCTAAACCTCAAACAAAAAATTTTCTACTTCAAGCATATAATTTAAGGGCATTTTATTTCTTTTAGAAGTATTTCCAACCATCTGGCATCGATCACATCTTTTAACATACATTCTTAAATACGGTAGGGTAGTAAAATTCAGATTAAAGAATCTTAGAAGCAGTTCTAAAACCTTTAAAATGCCTTCCATACTCAAAATCATGACATTCACTAATGGTCGATTCAATCTCATTTTTAGGGCACATCACCTAAAAATTTGGTCCTTACACTATCTAAACAAATAAGACTCATCCCAAAAATAGAATTTGACATCATGCAGAAATTTGCACCTTTGGGTGAAACACATGTCATAACACCACTAATAATGTAATTAACAAATTTAGCATATATATCAAGGTTATTCCAAGAATGAAATGAAAATAGCTTTTCTTCAGGTAAAAATTCATTAATATCCTTATCATAATCATAAGAATCCGCAATCTCTAATCTAGACAAATGATCGACCACCTGATTTTAAAAATATTTTCTATCCAAAATTTCTAATCAAATTCTTGTAGCAATAAAATCCACCGGATTAATTTGAGCTTAGCATCTTTCTTGTTTAACATATATTTGATTGTAGAATGATCGATGAAAATAATCACTTTGGTGCCAATTAAATGAGATCTAAACTTATTGAAGGTAAACACTATAACTAGCAACTCATTTTTAGTTGTTGGTAATTAATATGTGCATCATTGAAAGTTCTCGTAGCATAATAAATAGCATGAAATTTCTTATCAAATCTCTGCCCTAAAATCTTTTATGGCATGGTCACTAGCATCACACATCGATTTAAAGCTAAGAGACTATTGAGGTGAAATGATAATAGGTGCAGTAACTAAGCACTTTTTATGCTTCCTAAAAGCATCTAAACAATCAGAATCAAAATCAACAGGTATATATTTTTTATGCAAATATCAAAGCAATTTGGTAAATTAAAAAAAATTATGAAATGCCTATAAATTTTGACATGAGCTAAGAAACTCCAGACTTTGTTATCTGAAGTAAGAGGTGTTAACTTTTTAATCAATTGGATCTTTTCCTTATCAACCTCCAACCCCTCTTAGCGATTTTGTGTCCAAGGACAATTATTTTTTACCATGAACATTTCTCCCAATTAAGCACAAAGTTAGTTTCCTCACATCTTTTTAAAACTAACACTAAATGATTTAAGCTGATATCAAACATCTTTCCAAAGACTGAAAAATCATTCATGAAGATCTCAAAGCCCCCTTATATTAAATCAATGAATATCGATATCATACATCTTTGAAATGTTGTAGGAACATTACACAATCCAAAAGACATATGCTTAAACATAAAGATTTCATAAGGACTGCTGAAAGTTATTTTATCTTAATATTCTAGGACAATTGGAATTTGATGGTAACTAGAGTAACCATCTAAGAAACAATAAAAAGGATCCCTTGCTAGTTTATATAACATTTGATCAATAAAGGGAAATTATAAATGATCCTTCTTAGTGGCTATGTTAAGCTTCAGATAATCGATACTGATTCTTCACAGTAAGTTCTCTCTTTTCATTAGAAATAATAGTTAACCCTCTTATTTTAGAAACACGGTTAATACGATTAACCTAATCACTATTAGAAATATAATAAATGATATCCGCATCCAACCACGTTAAAATTTCTTTCTTTGCCACTTATTTTATGGTCAAATTCAACCTCCTTTATTGGCCAGCTTTAGGTTGGCTAGTTCTTCCAATAAAATCTTTTGCATATAAATATAATGACTAATCTTTGTATGTCAACAATAGACCAGCCAAGCACTCTCTTATACGAACTAAAGTCTTTAAATCAACTTACTTTTATATCTTTTTCAAGCTCAACAAAGATAATGATGGGTAAAGTTATGGCATCTCCTAAAAAACACATATTTTAAATGGCCAGGAAGTACTTTTAATTCTAACTTTGGTGCCTCAATTACAGATGAGTTCAAAGGTTTCCCTAAGGATGGTGATATAATATCTTTAATCTCTCTATATACATCCTAGGGCTTTGACTAATAACATGAACAACATCTCCCTTCATCTTATATAGATCATCCTCACATAATAATAAATCCATCTGACTTTCTCCCAGCCTCCATAACCTCCCCTGTATAAGAGTCAATAGAATCCACTCTACAATAATCCTCACCCAAATCCTTAAAATGATTCGTTGATTTCAATCTTAAAATAATTCGTTGATTTCAAGCATTAAAGATGACTTCATGATCTTGAATTCTCATATTTAACTCTCCTATATGAATGTTAATTGTATCCCTTTCGATAGCTAAGAACGATTTACTATGATAATAATTATTTTCTTGTCTTCCTACATGTCCAAAATAATATAATATACATAAAAAATGAACTTGTCCACCTTCACTAACACATCCTCTATTACCCCCTTAGGATAGGTAAATGAATGACCAGTTAATTGTAGTGTAACAGCAGTAGGTTATACTTCTTCTACTCTAGTCTTTTAAGAATAAAGAAGGGCATAAGATTGATACTAACACCTAAATCACAAAGTGGTCTCCCCAAAAATTATCTCCTATACCATCGAGATAGTGAAACTACTAAGGTATTAAGCTTTTGCTAGATTTTCTTTTGTATAATAACACAACAGTCTTCAAAAAGAGTTATCATTTAAAAATATCCTAAATTTCTCTTTTTGCTTTAAATATCTTTCATAACTTTTATATAAGTAGGTATGTGTTCAAGAGCTTCAGCAAGATGTATATTAATTATTAACTTTTTAATGATCTCAACAAATCTAAAAAACTATCTATCCATATATTTTTAGCAAACTTTGAGAAAATGATGATAGTGGTATCTCATTTACCTTCCTAATTAGTTTTTCTATATCCTTAGTAGGTTGAGATAACACTTCAACACTAACAAGGTTTAATAAAATTTATTCAATATTATCATCAATTAATTTCTCTTCCTTGCTAACCACTTCATATAATTCCTTTTCACTCCTTAGTTGAATAGCTTTGCATTGTTCCTTATCCCTTTCTTTTGGATTTACTTCTACATTACTAGGTAAGCTTCCTTGGGTTCTACTGGCTAAATATCCAGCTAATTGTCCTAATTAGTGTTTAATAATTCTAGTGGCAGCAGAAGGACTTGTAATTGCATACCCATTTGCAAAACTAATTCCTCTAGTGGTGGCCTCTTATCATTAAGTTTATTATTTGAGTGAAATCCCAAGGGATCAGTATGCCTTGGGTTTGTAAAATTTTGAGGAGAGTGGTTCTAGTTTTTTACTTGATTTGGCTAGTTAGAGTTTCAATAAGTATTACCATTTTGGTTATTACTCATGTTGAAATAGGGATTATTTTTCCAACCAGGATTATAAGTCTTTGAGAAAGGGCTATTAGTTTTATTATTGATAGCATCAAGGGATTCTACACCTGATACACTTGAATTACAAAAGGCTTTAAAGATATTTTATTTTATAGTCAAAGGTGAATTCTAAGGTGAATTGATTCCAATATTATCAAATTTTTTAGATATGACACCTACATGCGCAGTTAAAATTTATAGAGCATCTTATTCATATACACTAGCTACCTTTCTAAGATTAATTCTTTCAAAAGACTATTGAAAATTATTGGTAGCTATCTCCTCAATCAAAGCATATGCCTCATCAAAAGGCTTTGATATCATAGAACCACCAGCAACATCAATGATGGATCTAAGGGAACCTACAAGGTTGTTATAAAAGATATGAATGATTAGCCAATTAGGGAGGGCATGGTAAAGACATTTTCTAAGGAGTTCTTTAAATCTCTCCCACGACTCATGGATAGACTCATCATCTAACTGGGTAAATGAAGTAATATTAATTCTAAGCTTAGTAGTTTTAGATAGAGAAAATATTTTGTTAAAAATTTATGGACTAACTCATTCCAAGTTGTAATTGAGCTTAGGGGAAGTGAATTTAACCAAATCTTATCTTTATCCCTAACTGCAAAAGGAAACAATCTAAATGTCACAGTAGCATTAGTAACATCTTTATATTTGAATATTTCACACATTTTAAGGAAATTAGCTATATGCAAATTATGATCTTCTATTAGAGTTTCTTTAAAGTGAGAGTTTTGCATCTTTTGGATGACTATAGTTTTTAGTTCAAAATTGTTAGCCTGAATATTATGTGTATTTATGCTTTGATAAAAGCGTTCAACCATAGGGATAATGTATTCACTATGTACTCTAGGTTAATCATTTTTTTAAAAGTTGTTAAGCCATTTTTTTAATTTTTTTGTAATTTTTAAGTTTTTCTAATTTTTCTAAGGGTCTTTTCAATTTTTGTATAAAAAAATTATATTGGTTGTTTAAGATTACACATATAAAAGTAAGCAATACAATATAAAATATGTAAAACACTAAACAATAATAATTAACAATAAGCAAAGCAACACTAAGTATGTAAAAATAAAATTAACACTATATTAAATTAGCATATTATTCAATAATATAACATACAAAATAACATAATCAATTTCAATATTAATCCCTAACAAATGCGCCAAAAACTTGAAAGGATATTTCTGTGCTTTAGCTTACACACATTACTTAGTCCTCTAAGTATTGTTTAATTTGATAACGTGTAAGTCTTGTTATATGTATGTGCACGTGTCATATCAAGTAATAAAGCGATGATAAGAGCATCATTCCCAATTGGAGCTATGAAATTTTCTAAATTCACTTTAGCACTGCCTTATGAAACTGCTCAATTCATCTTACCAAATGATTCAAAATAGGTTGTACAAATTAAAATAAAAAGCTACAGTTACAAACGGTAAGGTCACTAGTTATAAAATGTTTAAACCTATGGTATTTAAAACACATGATTGCATAAGAGTGCTTTTCTAACTATTATTGTTGCAAATCAGAGTATAAGTACTCCTTGTTTATATCAAGCTTGTTGGAGTATTGACTAGGATCCTCCTTAACTATAGTTTTACTATCTCCTTAAGATCCCATAATCCTAACCATCATATTTCTATATTATGGCAAGACTTCATTTTAAGACCTCTAATTATTCTTTTACTCCTTCATTGAAGCTCTATATCACACCAAATTTTAAATTTATGCACAGTTTATACATAAACTAAATAAAGTTTCAAGGAATTAAAAATAGTTTGAGTAAATTATATAGATCAAACTTACTCTATGCAATACATACCTCTTAAATAATCATATATTCAGAATAAAATTAATTCAACATATGGTGACGAGTTTGCATGACACACACATTTTTATTTCACTAGCAAAACAACACAATAAAAATTATAAAGAAAAACATAAATGATAGAAAAAAGATTAGAAGTGACCTGAATCTAAGGTACATGTTCCTTTACACTTCTTCACATTAATATATATTAATAAAAGATACAAAATGTCACGTCCTATACTCTAATTGGAAGAATTCTTTCTATTATATATATGTTATTATGCAACAACTGAAGCTATCTAATTTCATCTAAAAATAATAAACAGTGAAAATACATTATAAAATTTAAAACATTAATACACATGTATATTCATTGACCAAAAGTAAACCATATACAATACTCGTAAATCATATAATCATTACCTATCCTTCACTTCCATTCCTGAGTACAAAAAAATAACTAAAATAAAACAAAATACAACTTGAGGAATCCTAATCAGTCTCACACTCCTAGACCTCTTCCATGACCTAAAATAATTTAAATCAAATATATTGAGCTAAATAACCAAACAATTACTAAAATCCTATAACTTAATTTAAAACATTATAAAGAAGCAGTATGAATATCACCAATTAATTCATTTATAATAATCATATGATTGAGAATCAGTACATAAATAGTAAAACTCACATACACTAGTAGTAAAATATATAAACATTAAAATATTGTGGTATATAAGCCAATAAAATAGTATAATGGGGAAATCAGAACAGGTGTTGAATCGATAAAGTAGTCATGATATCAGTACTATAAATTAGTAAAGCAATCATAAATAGCTATAAAACCAAAGCATCGATAAAGATTGCCGAAATTATATCAACATAGTAAAATTAGATAAGAGTGTACACATGGTATCCAGGTGTTTATATCAGTATCAAATCAGTATATTATGTCCTTAGTATATCACATGCTTAGTATCAGTATAGTAAATCAGCAGTATCAAAATAAATTTTTTTACGCTTTAATTGAACTAAAGAACTACTTTTAGATGTCAAAATAAATTTTTTGGGCTTTAAAATTTATAAAAAATATTCATAAATAGGACAATTTATTTAAAAATTTTTGGTGAAATTGATTTGCAAAATGGACACCTGATGGTCTAAAAATTGCCACTTGTAATGATAGGTGTCAATTTATTAAGGTTTTGCACTTATACCCAAAAATTATGAAAATAATTATTATAATTAAATCACTATAATATCTACATTATGGTGAAAATGGTTTATGATTTGAACTTATAATGACTTCTAAAAAAATTAATTTGACTAGTTATTATAATCTACCTACCTTGAAATATCGTCCTCGACTTTTTTGTTAATGATTCAGGCACAAAATCGATATGAACCAAATACATAGAATCAAAACTCATCAAGAAATCATACACTCATGCATTTTATTCTATCACATGTCCTTCAATTATATATGATATACTATGCCATTCAATCATTTAAATAAATTTTTTACCAATAAAACTTTTAGGTTGTTGTTAGTTTTTTAGACACTGCAAGTTGTAAACATGTGACATTAAAAGAGTAGGTGTAGTCGATCATGGTGCAATAATCTCCCTTTGAATAACACTGATAGCTCTATAATATACCTCTTTGACTGATCTTACACTATATGCTTTCATTCATGTAATCCCTTGTCCTTTAATCTGCCTAGACTGTCTTGATCTTAAATTAGTTCTTCCTCTTTTTAGATATTGCACTACCTTATGCCCTTATTGTCTACGTCAAAAAACATTGCTCAATTAGAAGAAGCACTCACCTCCATACCTATTTTCATAATGATTGCATGCACTCTAGCTTCTAGTAGATGCTATCAATCTCGATCCCCTTGAATCATCGTATCTACTTTTCTTATTACCAACACTATCTCTATCCTATCTTACTTCATCTAAATAATTAACACATGAAATCAATTATGTATATAAAAAATACACCTTAATCTGCCTAATCTACATGACTCAGTATCAATTCCTACAACCCTAGTAACAATTTAAATTTTCCAACAACTATGCTCTGATACAAATTATCACACCCTAAAATATAATTTGGAATAATTCTTTCTTTTATCTTTTATTTTGCTACAATCAAAGGTATATAATTTCATCTATTTGTAAAAAAAAACAAAAATAAATCTATAATTAAAAACATTAATATGTATCTATACTCATTGACCTAAAAATAGATCATATACAATACTTAGGAAAAATATAATCTCAATATATCCTTTCATTCCTGAGTATAAATGAATAACTAAAATAAAAAAATAGAACTTGAGAAATCATCATCAATCTCACACTTCTGAACCTCTTCCATGACATAAAATCATTTAAACCATATAGCATGAACTAAAGATCCCAACAGTTCACTAAAATCTTATAACTGAATTTAAAGCACGGTAAAGAAGTAGTATGTATATCATAAGTCAATTCATAATAATAAGATTCATATGATCTAAAGTTAGTGTAAAAATAGTTAAACTCACATGTAATGATAATTGAATTTGTAAACACTTAAATAATATGGTATAAAAGTCAATAAAATAGTATAGGGGAAAAACTAGTAAATTGGTACATATGTAGAATCGATAAAGTAGTCAGCATATCGGTACTATCAATCAACAAAGCAATCATATGAAGCTGTAAAACTAAAGCATCGATAAAGACCATCAAAATTATATCAATGCAATAAAATCATACAGAGTACACATACTATCCAAGTATTCTATATCAATATCAAATCAGTATATTATATGATAAGTATTCCACATGCTTAGTATTAGTACAGTGAATCAGTAGTATCAAATAATGTTGATGTATATCAATTACAGTAATAGTCCAGTGGTAGGAGCAGTAAAATAATACATTAATAATAAAGCTATACAATAATAGGAATAACATCTCAACAACATGCATTTTAGAAGTAACAAAAAATAAATAAGAAGTTATGACTATCATAATATTTTTTAGTAACCTATAATTGATAGTCAATAACCATTGGGTCAGTAAATAGAGTCGTCATTCATTACCTACTAGCACAGTAATAACTCTTTATAACTCTCAATTATTGTATCTGTAGAGGATAACACCCAACCATAATATTCAAAGAAAATTCGTAGGCCCACATCCTATACAGGTCAATCAATCTCCAATCAATGAGTCAATCAGTATTTATATTTTACACTTATATAATATTATCACAATATTATAATTGTAATAGCGACCATCGATAAAATTCAAAATTTATAAAAAAATGGACAGCTGACAATTTTTTAATTTTTAGTATAAAATTCATATAAATCTTTTTTGGGGCTTCAAAACTTATAAACAAATATTTATAAAATAAGATAATTTATTTGACAAATTTTTGTGAAATAGACTTGCAAAATTGACACCTACAATTTTAAAATCCCCACTTATAAAAAATAAGTGTTGATTTCTTAAGATTTGCAAAAAAATAATGTAAAAAATAATGTGATTAAATCACTATAATATTTATGTTATAGTGAAGTCAGTTTATGATTAAGACTTATATTGACTAAAAAAAAATATTTGATTGTATTATTACACATCTAATTACATAAGAGCTACTACCTCAAGAACATTCCTTA